TAATGTATCTACTTCAAACTTCATATAAATGTTTCTTATTATCACTCAACATTTGTTAGTGTTTAATACTCTAGCAAGACTATTTCCAGAATTATGCCCCTTTTGAACTTAGACTTTTTTTTGAGAAATTGGTAATTTTTACTCCAACTTCTTCAATCATGATAGGATTTTCTTCAAACACACACATCATAATAATATGACAAGGTTTATAAATCTAGCATCCATATTTCCAGAAGTATCTCCTCCTTAACCTTTTAATTTTTCCTATTTGTTCTTTTAACTTTCATTTACTTCAAATTCAAAATAAACATTCAATATTCATACCTTCATTACTAATTGTTCTTTGTTACACTCACATAATGTATGACATCGTTATCTCCTTTTTAAAAATTTTGCTTTTAAAAATGTTATATTTTGATAACAGGGATGTTTAAAAAAATAATTTTAGAGTGTCCTTCAGTCCGTCTGTCTGTCTGTACATAAAAACTGTTTCAAGAAATTTGCTTAAAATAGAAACATAAGTGAATGGCCAATGGCCCTTCAGAATGTTGCTTGGGCTCTTACCGGTAGGGGACTTATGGATTGCTTGCAATACTATGATAATTGCTTGTTTTTCTTTTTTCCATAATTGAACACTTCCATGTTTCTTTAACAAAATTACCAATTATGTGAGTCAAGGGCTAGAAAGGGGGCATATGTGTCGTTCGACATTCTTGTTGATCTTAGATTTCTGAATGTAGAAAATTTTATTTATATATGACATTGAATTGTATAACTATGATTGTAAAGTTATCAAACTATACTTTATTTCTAATAGAATTATATTGGATTTTAGTTTTTATTATTATTTGTAAAATAAAAAATACTTTTACTGTAGAAATACTCTCATTCAAATTATTGTAGTCTGTGCAGACATGACAAAATTCTGCACTTGACTTATTATATGAACAGAACAGGACAAACAGTTTATTCAAGACTTGCACAATTAGTACATAATAATGATTATGATTAAATGTTAAAGTGATATAATGCTTTTTCTTTCGTTATCAAGTTGAGCTGAATTAATTAGTTATAAATTTCAAAAACTTGACCATCAATGGTTATTGTCCAAAGATTAGTAATAACAAACTGTTTGGTTAAATATAAATTTAACAACTGCACAAACTATATAAAAATGTCACACTTTTGTATCAATTGAACATTACAGATACGTTCTGAAGGTTATTTATAGCATTTTACACAATTTTAGCGAAATATTCATATTTTTTCGGAGAAGAAAACAAAATTAAAAAACAATAATGGTCAAATGTAAAGCTTGTTTTCACTTGTACTATCACCATTTACACAAAGAGAGGCATTATGTCACTTTAAATCTATAAATTTTAGGATTCAACTAATTGATTTTCCTGATTTGGTGACATCATGATGTCAAAAGTCTGAAAATTCGGTATTGATTAAACAATGAACAAATTAAAAAATTATTTGTTTAACATGTATTGTCCACACCATCTGTTACATTCATAGATTATTTCAAGAAAGTTAAGTATAGCTTCTGGTGTTTATATATTTAGTTACACTTTTTGAAGCAAATGAAATATTGTTTGTATCTGATTTAAAAGAACTCCACTGAGGTCCAAAAGCCTAAAACATAAAATTTGATTTTCTGACAAAGATCAGCTCGGACACTGAAAATAGTAAGATATGCATAATATTATTAAGAAATATACTTGAAATAAATTGATTTTTGTGCTATGTTTAGCCCGACCTAAGGGAAAAACGTTTAACAAGTTTCAATTTTAAGTCTTTTTTCACAGAACAATTATTCTAGAAAAACTGGAGTGAGTGAATGATCTGAAATTTTGCACACATGTTTAAGTCTAGACTTACAAGGAATGGAACATTAATCTTAGAAAAAAACATTTCCAGTCCCATCAAGTCAAAAATCCTCAGTGCAGTCCTTTTAATTATAAGAATTGTCATGGTACCATATAGATCTCTTACATTTCGTTTCGGTAAGAGATTTGCAAAATATTAATAACGTTGTTATTCTGCAATTCTGTTGGTACATGTCAATCATTATTAGCCACACCTTCTTTATATTATGTTATATTGCAACATAGCTTCATAATGTATATTTCAAATAGATATTATCCTAGAATATGTAATTGTGTTGTCAATTTCTTATCACATACCAGTCAATCATATAGAATAAAAAATAAGAAATAAGAAAGAAAATATCGATTTTGAACTACTTATTTTTAAGGTTTCGATTAATTGTCTTTACTGGAGCTACCAAACTCCTACTGGTATAACTTTTCTTTTGGAGACTATATTATTGTTTGATTTAGACGTTTCATCAACAATAGCATAAAAGGAAACTTTAATCTGATATTTTAACAATTGCTATAGTAAGCTTTATTTCTTCTTTCATTTTGCCTCTACTGAAAAGTAATCTAATTACAAGAAATAAATAAATAAACTCGTTACTCGAGTTGTAGTAACGGTCAAAATGTTTGTTTAAAAGAGGTTACTGTTTCACAAATGGTCATACTGCAGAGGGGGTCACGACACAGGTGTCAACAAACAAGTTACATTTGTTACATGGACTTGTGAACATTTTAAGTATCTTTTACTTCGAAATTGCAATACATTAAACTTAGATAATTGCATGCCAATGTGTATATGTTGATCTCACCCCTTGTGCTACTTATTTCATATTACACTTATATAAATAAGATGTTAATTATGAGCTCCTATAAAGTCATAATTATATTGTGATAATGTTTTGTACATTAACATATACATTGTTGGTTATCTTTAAAGTGCGCTGTTATTATGTTATCATGGGCTTATAAGCCTTATTTTCCTGAAATAAATTGTACGTCTGTCTTTTAATATATAGGTAAATCTATTTAATTTTTGTTTGTTTGATTTTTATTGTCATGAGCTTAGATATACATGTACAAAAGGAACTGCGTTTCACGCTCTAAGAATGCTACTTACGACCCCCTTTGGACCATGGGATGAAAAATGACCCCGCCCCCATGTGGCGCAATTGCATATTTCAGCTTTTAAAGAAATATAACAGTAATGGAACTCATGAGAGCGATATATGGCCATATGACCATCTTGTTTTGTTGTATTTTTTTAATCTGGCCATGTTCCACACGTCACTGTTATATACTAGAGCGCCAAGCAGTACAATCGACTTCTTAGATTGTTGAAAGACACTGCAGGGGAAATTAAAGTGTACAATTTTCACACATTTGTGATGACAAGTTCTGAAAATTTCTCTGTAACTTCAAAGCGGATTTTGAACAAACGACAAATTGGACCGAATTTTCGCTTATTTACAGACCTCTATTATTGTGAAAGAGAGAAAGAGAAATTGTTAAGGAGAAACAAATGATTAAATTATACTTAAAAAGAAAAAGTAGTAACCTAGATATAGAAAACAAAGAAAGCATAAAACCTGCAAAATTATAAAAAGACTACCATTTGTTCATTTCTATTTATGATGATGATCAATACCGACGCACTTTATCAGTTGTTTTTTCCGTCGGTTTTTTTCCGTCACACCGACACAGTATAAGTCATATAACTTTCTAGCTTTATTGGTCGAGGAAGACCTCAGGTGCCCTTCTGTGCATTATTTCAGGCACGAACGGGCACCTGAGTAGAAGTAAGCTAGCTGGATAGCGTCCTCACGTGAAAGAATTCAAAGTCCTTGTCGGGATTCGAACCAACAGCGGCGGTAAGGGGGAAGTTGTTTGAAGCCAACGACTTTAACCATTCGACAAAGGACGTCCCTTACATCATTAGTTGAATAAAAAATGTATGCCAAAAAATGGAGTTACGTCTACATGATTTGAAAAACAGAAGACCGAAAATGTACAATTTATGATGACAATAAAATGCTTAAACATCTTGGTAACCAGTTTAAACATGTTTCTGCTACAAGTGTTACACATGGTGAATTTGACAGGTTAACATGTATGCACACTATTGAAACTAGTTACAAATGCATAATGTTGGATAGCCATATCTTGGATTTCTGGCAGACTGCTTTGGAAAAATGATATGAAAAAAATGTTTATTAAGTCTTGCCTATACAAAGGCGCATTGACGATCACTTGCCCAAAACAGGTAAATATGATTAAAACAAGAGAGAAATAAAGAATCCCTAATGAAAGTCAAAAATTGCAAAACATTGAATGGTCAAACACATGCGCAGATGTGTTTATACGACAGTCTTCATGGAACCTTAAATGGGACTCGTTCGTGTCATTCCATGAAAAGAGCCTTGTATTCTCCAAGTAAAAAAATGAGTGTGCCCTAAACGGAAAAACAATGGGCGAAATAAAATAAGATATAATTTTGAAAGGGGATAAGAGGTTATGAAGCATGCATATCACATAAACTTGCAAAAGACAAATTTAAAAAGCAGGCAACCTATCCTTAGGATGATTAAACAGCATTCAATCAAAGTAATACTTAAACCACCAGGCTTGGATAAAAGCTTAAAGAAAAAACTAAAAGTACCACAAAATAACAATGATTTCGTGATGAACGACTTTTAAGAATTAAAACAGAACATCTCTGACTAAATGTACGGATCGACTTTTTATGCGGCCTCCACATTGCACAAACAACGATAATTAATTTATATGGCGATAAAATATTGTGAAATAAATAATTCCTAAAGGATGTTCAACGAGGAAAACCGACTAGAAAACATGTGAATTTTGCTTTATCCCAGTTACTTTATCCGCATTTCCCATGTTTTTCTTCTTTTTTTCGCCAGAAAAACATATAATTTATTATATTATAGAGCTGCAATTCATGAAATTATTCTTTCATGCAGATATAAATGTCATGTAATGAATATCCTGTCAAACGCATCCTACGTTTAAAGAATATTTCGTAAAATTATCTTCGAGTTTTGTACTTATATAATAATATATAATAATGACATTATCCAAATACCATTTCATGTTTGTGTAACATAGTTACACCAGTAGGTCTTACATTGAGAGTATCATTAAAATATTGCGGACGTACAAACCCGCTTTGTGTTATGCAGAGACACTTAGTGTTGATCAAAAGCAAACTAAAAAGCAATCCTCATAGTGTAAGACATTGAGTAAAATTAAAGGCATGATTTCGGCTTTGCTGGTGATCGGTTTCATTTTGATTTTTAGAACAGGCGGAATACACACACGTAAGTAGCTTGTTTCATAATATATTAAAGGCCCAGTATGCCCCAAAAAATGCTTTATTCTTTAATTTCAAAAAGCTTGTTATTTTTGGGTACTTTTATATTTCAAAAAAGTTACTCATTGACTTGAACTATCTTGTTCTTATGTTACTTTTTGGTAATTAGAACAGTTATAGTCAGCATGGAAGTCAACATACTACTTTGTTTACATTTTGCTACTTTTTTGTCAAATTATTTCACATTTTACGGTGGCACAAAGGTGACCTGTGTGTGTTTTTATTTAACTCGTGGCCACGAGATACTATGTCATGGCCACGAGATACTAAGTCGTGGCCACGAGAAAGCTAAGTCGTGGCCACGAGATACTATGTCGTGGCCACGAGTTACTAAGTTGTGGCCACGAGATAGCTTAGTCGTGGCCCGAGATACTATGTCGTGGCCACGAGTTACTAAGTCGTGGCCACGAGATAACTAAGTCGTGGCCACGAGATAAATAACCAATCAGATTACACCATTTATGTGAATTTCCCTAATTTATTAGATGTCATCTACTGATCAGGTGCAATGATCTTTCAGGGTTATATAAACCATGGCTTATCCCTTCTAAATTATTCATCAGACAAGGATTTTACCTGATCTACTGTCCATGGGCAATATCCCTTCCAAATAAAATAAACCAGGACTTATTCCTTCTCATGTTATCGTATAAACAAGGTTAAGAGGCCGTAGTACGTACAAACTGACCAATTCGATCACAAAATTGTATTCAAAATTAATGTCTGATGGGCCTTGGAAGGTGACTTTCTAATATGGTTCAAAGTGAATATCTTCAGTATTTTCAATGATTTATGTTGCATGTAAAAGTAAGTTATTAAGTTTAAAAAAATCATAATATATATAGTGTATTCTGATTGGTTAATTATCTCGTGGCCACGACTTAGCTATCTTGTTCCCACGACTTAGTAATTCGTGGCCACGACATAGTATCACGTGGCAACGACTTAGCTATCTCGTGGCCACGTGATAAATAAAAACACACACATGTCACCTTTATGCCACCGTACATTTAGCATGTTTGGTTTTCTAGAGAAGTAAAGATTAATTCGTTTCTGAGGAATAATTGCCTTACACTATTTTATATAATTTTTTTTATTTCTTTTAGCAATAAGGCTTAATAGTTTGACTTTCAGTTAAGTCAAAGGCATAATTTTGACTTTGCCAAAAATCGGTTTCATTTTGTCTTTTAACATAGGCGGAATACACAAACGTACGTAGCTATATAATCATAATATATTAAGCAAATACAATATACTGAATACATAGATCAACGAATTTTCTTTTAAAAATTCTTGTGTGTAGGCAATAGTTCTCTTTTAAGACTGAAGTTCCACTCCCGGCCGATATGCCTTCAGAAGAGCTTTAGGACAACAGCAAAGGTCGATACATATAATATGCTGGTTGGATTACTGGTTCCGATACCAGCAAACATGATTTTTTTTTATTTTCAAAAAGCTTGTTATTTTTGTGTATTTTAATAGTTTGAAAAAAAAAAGTTTCTCATTTGCCTGAACTATCTTGTTCTTATGCTACACCTGACGTTGTCCTTAGCGAATATCTCCTTCTTCCAAATAAAAAAAAAAATGATATAAATAGGAAAACCATAGCAAAGATATAATACTTGGTCTCAGGGTTACCATTATGTTTGAATGATTTATTAAAGTATTAAAGTAAAGTACAATATATTTAGAATTATATTTATTATTTTCTGGAGATAATAGCTGATGAGGTTTGTGTAAAACCGGGCTGAATTGTTTCTAGTAAAACACATGTTTACAAAATTCAAGACATTTTCATGATTTTATGTATGTTTGAGAAATAATCAAGTCATCTAATGTTTTAAATGACCACTTCATGGTCCTCAAAATGCTCTGCCTGTAACAATGCGCGGAGGAGCATCTAAAGTCTTCCTCCATGTGAAGCAGAAAATTGACCACATGAATGTTTCAGTGCCGGAACAACTTGAAAACCAACCAAACCAAAAAGTACATTTCAATGATACAGTATAATTTTCTCTGAAGTTTAGCTTGAAACCTTATGATTAAAAAGTAACAAATTTCTTATAAAAATGTTACATTTCCAATTGAAAAGTAACAATATTTCTTGTTAAAATCCAACAAAGTTTCCGAATGTCACAAAATTTCCAATAAAAATGTCACACGATTTCTGATTGAAAAGTTACAAAATTTCCAATTAAAACACACACAATTTCCGATTAAAAACTCCCAAAATGTCCGATGAAAAATTAATAAAATTGCCAATAAAAAGCAACCAAATTAAATACAATGAAAGAAGTTCCAATCCCAGCTTATACATTGAGAAGAGCATTACGACAGGAAGCGTCGTTACATAAGGCCTACAGATGTGATGACTTGTTACTGTACGACTCCAGCAAGCAGTCATGTGACATGTCCTAACCCTCCAAAAAGGTTTGATATAAATAGAAAAACAAAGAAAAAATATATTTCTTGGTTTCCGGGTTACCATTCTTTTTAATGATTTATTATATGTATGATATTTACATTTATTTCTAGAGTTAACAGATGATGGAGTTTGTTTAACACCAGGATGTGTGGTTGCAGGTAAAACATTCATTTAAAAAAAATTAAGCCTTTTTTTATAAAAAAATATTTTTGTTTTGTTTGGTGAATAATCAAGTCATCTAAAGGGGTACCAGTAAAGCTGAAGAGTCACCATATGATCTTGATCTTGATCCCCAACCATGCAGTTGCTATGTACATTTAATCATTGTTATTAAAAAGTAACAAAATATCCGATGATTTGTCACAAAATTTCCGATCATTTGTTGTAAATTAAATCAATTCATAGTGTAAGAAACATAGTCAGCCAAAGTATAAAAGACCGAGATATGCTGGTAATTTGGCGAGGTTTTCTAAATATCAGAAAATGTAGACATTTACTATGTCTATGGTTTACTATGCCTAAATTTGATATAAGAACATAGTGATAATTGCTATACAGTCTTTTTTTGTAAAAATAAAACAAACATGTTTTGACTTAATACCAAGCAGATATGATATGTTTAAAATTCTATACACTATATGTGGTCAAACTATCAATATATTGTTTCATTAAAATACTGGCAGTTTTTTGTAAGAAAAGATCAACTTTACTTGACCACTAATAGGGAACCCATGCAGCTTTCTGTACATAGATTTTTCATTCTTTTATTCAAGACATTTCAATAAGAATTTAGTAGATTTCAATACATTTCTGTTATCAAAATATTTTTTTCAAGGGTAAGCATAATATGTCTTTAAGTTTTTTTTCGGTTTGTTTGTTTTTTGTTTCAGCTTTTTAGGTAAGGGCCCTCGATAATGTTGTTATAACTTTTTGCTAAACCCTTTTGTATATTTACATTATTGTTTTTATGTTTAATGATATATAATTGTGAAATTTTATGTATGCGTTTTTATACAATAAAATATGATTAAACTAAAATTCAATAATCTTTGACTTTTATATCCATGCTTTTATGTTTGTTTCATTAAAATACCGTTTCAGCTGCTCGTGTACTTAATGGAATTGACACGTCTGTAAATCCTTGTGACAACTTCTATACATTTGCTTGTGGATCGTGGATAAAGAGCAATGTCATCCCTGAGCATAAAGGTTCAGTAAGTGTTTTTGCGGAGGTTCGTGAAAAAGTTGCAGTCACCGTCAAAGGTAACATACCAACGATTTTTATGTTTGAATCCTAGAAAATTTAATCAATTTATTAAAATGCGTGCTTCCATATAAATAAAAATATAGCTGCATACGATAGGGTCATTATACCTAATACATTGTAGTTACAGAAGAAAAATATTTCATGATTTTCAGCTGATTTCTGCAATACGGATGTTGATTCGTAAAATACAAATTATATAGCATCACATTTAAAGAAATCTTACTTATAAAGCATAAAGAAAAGCGCACTTTGTATTAATCATCGTTTGGACTAGTTTGAATGTCATAACGTTTGATTCAAAAGAATAACGGTTTTACTACAAAAGAATGTAAAAACGCTTTTCCTTCAAAAGAATGTTTTAATGCCTTTACTTAAGAATGTAATAATGTTTTGTTTTTACAAAGAACGTTTTTTTAACGTTTTTAAAAAAGTATCTTATAATGTAGTTTTCATAAGAATGTGACAAATATTCCCCTAAAAGTGTAAAAACGTATTTAACAAAAAAAACTTCAAAAGAATGTAATAACGTGTCTTTTTATAACGTTACCTAAAATGTTAAACTGTTTTTACAAAAGAATGTAATAATGTTTTTACAAAAGAAGGTTATAACGCTTTTCACGAAAAAAAAAAAAATGTTCTAACGTTTTCTATTGTTTTTTTCTCTCCAAAAAACGGTCTGATAACATTATGTAATTATGATGCTATGCGTAAAGTGTCTATACAAATAGTTTCAGATTTGCAAAAGGTCGATCGTGTGCTTCTTTCCCATTTGATATCTTCTGAACGCCGGTTTAATTTTGTCAATCATGGTAGCCTCAAACTACATATAATATGATAGATAAATAAATAAATAACTTGATATTAATATAATGACGCTTTTATTTCCCCTGCATTTAATTGCGTCATTTCCCTTCATTCGAAATGTCAATAATTTTACTTATTATCTCATGAAATGTCATGATTTCAATTCAAACTATCTGTCACAAGGCTCGCTTACAAGCCCTATTACAAGTAGAGAAACTGATAGCGAACAACATGGACCCTGATCAGACTGCGGGGATGCGCAGGCTGGTCTGGATCCATGCTGGTCGCAAACCCATTAAGTTGATTTTGTCGTGACGGATGGAAATGTCATGATTTCAATTCAATCTATCTGTCACAGGGTTGTTAGAAGCTGATAACAATCAAAATCATCCAAAGGTGGTCCAAAAGGCAAGGAACTTTTACAAATCATGTATGAACCAAGGTTAGTTGATAATATAAAACATTGTCATAATTGCTCTGCCAAAAACTTTAAAAAGACAAAGGACAATGATAAGACAATAATAAGGCAAGAATTTAACATTTCATCTCTGAATGACTCTTTAACAAATCTGTATATCAACTGAACACGATTAAATTTACTTTTGAATATCATATTCATTTTCTAAATTTTTGAAATAATTGAAAAACGTACTATTTCAGCTTGAAATACTGTTTATTAATTGTATAAACTACTAATATTTTGACGTTTTGAAACTAAATATATATTTCTTCCAATGTCACTCTCTTTAATTTTACATTTACACAAAAGATGCTGTGGAAGAGTATGGACTTGGGCCCATGAAGGAGTTCATTGAAACGTTTGGCGGCTGGCCAGTTCTAGGCTCTCAAGACGGCGGACGTTGGTCTGAAAATAATTTTAGTGTTGAAGATTTCTTAGTAGAATCCGTTCGGCAAGGAAAAAGCATGCCGCTGATAAATTTCAGCATCAACAAAGATTTAAAACAATCTGTATCTAAAATAATAACTGTAAGTACAAACTATATTTAATTTATACCAATTTAGTTTCTAAAAGATATATTGCTTTCTGTCTACATACCACTTACGACCAAAAATATAATAATGTGAATTGTCTGGTAAACATGTTGGCACCTAAATGGAATTATAAGTCTTAAAGTGTCTTGCTGAATAGCCTATGCATGTTAGTTAAGCATTAAAGATGCATTCCTGTATTGAGTTCTTTAGGTATCTAAATGGAATCTACTACATCTTTTTTTCAATGAGTCTTCAAAAATATTCACGAATTCGCCTATGATTTGTAGTAACTATCATAAATAACCGAGTTGAATATAAGTAAGCCATGAATACATAATACCAGTATTTTTATGTAATAATTCACTTCACAAAAAAAAATTAATAAACACCATAAAAATGCTCGTTTGTCCTTCCTTAAAATATGAAACAATTTAAAAGCTTATTGAAAAAATTGTTGCAATAAGGATATTAAGTTTGGTAATATTGTAATGATATATTTTGTATCGGAAATAGCAGGTAAGATATGCTAATTTTAGATAAAACCGTTTCATCTTATTGAAAAAATCAAGAAATAAAAATTTGCCAACAATAAAATACATAAACAATAAGTAAAAGGTCTTATTTCA